TGTGTTAAATCATTTTCTTGTAAGCCCACACCATCTGTGATAGATGCATCATCTTGCAAGTATAGGTTTTCTTCTTTGTTAGCAGAACTACCTGTATGGGGTTCTTGTTCTGGCCTGATATTAGCTAATTTTTCTTTGCTGTATAATCCAATTTTTTTTTTAAAGTCTTGATATTGTTGGCAAAAGGCTGCAGATTCCTGGAATAGCTGGCATTCCTTTTTAATATGCCCTTCTTTTTCACAGAAGTAGCTTACTTTTGCTGCTGCCTTCCATTCTGTTGTGACCTTGTTATCCCAAATATGGGTAAATCTTGGTATTTTACCTTCTAGAAATGAATCCTCTGTGGTCTCAAAAATTATAACTCACTGATCTGTTAGGTATGGTGTACCTTCAATTAACAAGGGTTTAATCGATGCTATTTTATTTATATTCTCAAAAGCATTTTTAATTGAGTCTGACAGTTCTTCTTTGTTGCCTAGTGGGACATTCCTGATTTTGACTGGCAAGAATGATTTTCTCATATTCATTAGAACATATCCAAAATATGTTCTGTTGAAAATTTTAACACCTTTTGTTGCATAGATCTTTAGTTTTTCTTTGTTTGTGAAGATAATTTCTAAATGTGATTGTGTTCCTTTAGTAAGATGTTGTTTAGCTGCAATGATGTCATTTTTAGCCATTTCAAATAAAGATGACATAATTTCGTTAAAAGAGCATCATAGGCTTTGTATATCAATAATGAGAGCATTTTCATTTTTTGATTTAATTGTGTTCCTAGAAGAAAAGGATGAGTAAGTTAACTGGTCTCTTTTAAGTTTAGGAAAGAGACTTGACCATTTTTTTGTTAGTGGTTCAGTTATTCTACTAGAGCTAAAAGTTGTATTTCTTTCCAAAGTGAAGTCCCCTTGTTCATTTATTGGTTCATTTTGAGTTGTTGTTTCCATGTTGTTTTGTTATCTGTACTAGTTTTGGAGACCTCTTTGTCACGTGTTGTTGTTTGGATGTTATCTTCATTACATGTACTAGTTTCAAAGACCTCTTCATTATGTGTATTAACTTCAATAACCTCTTCATTATGTGTAGAAGTATTGTTGTTTTGTTCTAAAAGCATTTCTATGTTGTCATTTCTTTCTACTGATGAGATTTTCTCTTTTGATATGTATGTTCTATTTTTTTTAGTTCTTCTTTCTGTGTATTTGTTATTTCCTTAAGTTCCTTAGTTTCTTGAGCTACTTGTTCATCCCAGCTAGAGTTGCTTTTGTTGCTATATTCTAGTGAACCTGAGTTATTGCCTTCTACTTGTATAGGCTTCTCATTTTTGGTGTTTTTTTTATCAGCATTTGTTGTTGTTTTTTGTTTTTTTTGCCATAGTGCCAAACCTTTTTATATTATTAAAAGCTTTAAAAGATCTTTTTCTTATAACAAGAGCAAGTGCTCTTGCTTTGAAACCTTTTTTAAGATTGGTTGTCTTGTTGTTGTAGTTTATTTTTCTGTTTAGTTTCACTTCACTTCCAAATACATATGGTTTGGAAAGAGTGTATGCAGATCTTCTATAATATTAGGTATTAAATTTAATGCTTTAATAATATTACTATCATTGTTAGTAGTAATTGTAAATACTAGATCTGTAAGTCAATAGCATAGTGGTTAGCACTTTTGAGTCTTAATTGCAAAATCATGAGTTCAAGTTTTAGAGGCTACAAAAACTCTGCCAGGCCACAATTGAAAAAGATCTGCAAGAGATTTTTACTTAAAAAAAAGCAAGAACAAGATTCATATGAAAAGAATGCAGTAACCAGCATAGTCACAGGGTCAAAACAATCAGATAAGGTGTAATCTGTTAACAAATAACATTAACATTAAGAGAGGGAGTGTGGCAACTTAGTGAAGTAAATAAGTTGTCATACCCCCAAGTGGTAAGTTGTGAGTTCAAAACCCACTGATGGTGAAATTTGGATATTCACCTATGTAAATATAGACAGTATTATGGCGACAGCATTCTGTTGATCAGTTGGGATAGGATACCTGTAATTATGGTTGCACCAGCATGACTGGCAGGTCTGGGGAATCTGTATAACCTGTTACACAGAGGAATGCAAACTGATACTGGGCAGTGCAAACCTAAAATAAGTCCTCGGGCTGTATAAATCCATAGAACTAAGAAGCTGAAGCCTACTTGGAAATTCTGAGCGGAGAGGTAACACAGATCTTTGATGGTACTACTGTAAAGGCTAAATCTAGGAAATGGATACCAATGTAAAGGATTTAGGTGGGCAAGAACCTCAGATAAAAGTATCACCAACCAGGCTGCCAGATTTCAGACCAGAAAAAAAGGATATTGAATGGTCTCAATATACCAAAGACAGGTCACAGTCCTTCCGGGCTATCTGGATTGGGAGTCTGAGTTCAAAGCAGGGTATACTAAAAGTACTAGGAATATGTTGTGAAGTCAGTACTGGGGTCTAGGTGAACTCTGTAAGAGTAGCCTGTATTAGTGTTTTTAAAAGTGAGTAAATAGTTAACAACAGGGGCCCTCTGTATCTTACTGGCAGGTGATGTACTTTGAAATGTGTAACAGCCTGGGAACCAGTACAAAAAGAGTAGGTACCATACTGCTCAGACAGTATACCAGTTAGGTATATACAGGAGGTTAGTTGAGAATTCCAATATGACAAGGCAGATAATCAGAGGGTTTAAATGGATAATCTTCTAGTAGATTATAGGTATGGCATCTAATGTAGAACCTTAGGATGGACTACTTAAATAGGCAACCAAAAGTTGCATGCATAACTAACTGTACTCTCATCTCTGTAAAAATAGTTGTAATAGCTAACCTGATATAAAGTCAATAAAGTATTACTACAAATATGGCCTTTAAAAAAAAAAAACAAACAAAAACATTGAGAAAGCCTGATTTAAGAATATGTAAAATTAAGAATATCAAAAATATATGAACGATCCAGCTGGTGAGTAATGTGAAGTTAGAAAACTGCAAACCAAAAGTGATAGTAGGTCCTATACTGTAGAACCAGAGACCTGAGATGTCATATGGCAGACTTAATAGAGCATAAGTTATTTTACAGTTCGGTGATATACAGGGCACATGCCATCTGATGATCTTTGCAGAATGATAACTCTGGTTTTGAAAAGATGTAACAGATCCTAAGATGTCTAAGGACCTTTAGGATAGTGAAGGGAGGTAAAGATAAATAAAAAATAAAAAATAAAAAAAATAATTGTAAATACTTATTATTAAAATTCTATTTATTAATAATCAAGTTTAAAGATAAATAAGAAAAATATTAAATGAAAAGTATATCTTCTTGTAATTAAAAATTATTATTAATATAAGAACAAATAACACCTAAATACTCTAATCTATTATATCCAGTCTATAAATTACAGATTAAAAAACATAATATAATATTTTTTTTTAAATATACTTAATAAGAATTGCTTAGTATTTTTATATACTTCAGAAAGTAATTATCAACAATATTTTTTACTTAAAAATTTGTATGATGAATCAAATTCTGTAATAAAATTTTTGAAGCCTTCATCATTTCAAATACTTATTGGTTGCTGATCTTTAATTAAGTTCAACAAATTTTTGTTCAACAAATTTTTGATCTTTACATCACTTATGTTCAGAATTATTATAAATCATTTGATCAATTTGAAGTTATGAAGATTGTGGTTTTTTTGTTTTTTTCTTATAAGAACTTTAGTAATACCATGTTATGTTGCTAAGTGCCTGATATAATTTCCTGTTAAACTATCTACTGCCCTCATAATATGTCCACATAATTTATTTTTATGATTTTTGTAAATTTCAACTAGACATCTTATAATTGTTCTATAAAGTAATACAGATTTATAATGCTGATAATATGATCAAATTCAACTTCATTCTAAATGTTTAGTAATAGAAACTAACTTTATTTTTTTCAGATTTAGTAAATTTGATATATCATTAAGTTTGTTTGATAAGATTAAAGATTCATCATTAATTGGATTGTTATTCTTATCAGTTACAGTATCACTATCACTATTAGCCAAGTTATAGCACTCATTAGATGCATTATGATTATTATTATCAACTATATTACTACATTTAGTTTAAGATAATTCTGAGCTTGATGTGTAAGTATTGGATATTTTTTGAATATTAAACTAGCCTCTTTTAGAACTAGGGTTTATTCAGTAAATTAGGATATAAGGACTCATGGCTAAAGCCTCAAAGAAGTCACTTTATATTAGAAAGTACATCTAACTACACATACACTTTTGGTGTCTAATTTAAGTAGTCTGCTAATAGTTCTATACTAGCTGCCATACTTGCAACCCAAGTAGGGGCATTGCCTATTTAAACTCTCTGTACTGCAATTCCTACTGTGTCACTAGATCATCTCTAATACAAATATTAGATAAAAAGGTCTAGATACTTTTACCTATACACTTAGGACCTTATACCTTATTTCATGCAGTGTATCTTCAGAAGTATCATTACTAAAGCCTTTTGTGTTCTACACACAGCTGACCTAGTTTTATATAATATGCTATAGTTATCTAATACTTGCAGGCACAAGGGTTACCTGTTTAACGCTATGTTATACTATTTCTATTTTTGTAAAGTTTATCTAAACCCCCAATACCTATCTTTCTGACTTCTTCTCTTCATCTCTCTACTATCCAACTCAGAATCTAACAGACTTCCTAGACTTCCAATTCAGATAGCCTGATGTGGTATATCTTAGTATCCTTTTCTTCAGCAGTCTGGTTGGTCATATGCTCCTCTATACATCTTTTCATCCAGTTACATCTGCCTATTTCTTATTGGAGTTTCCTAGGCTTCCATCAGTTCAATAGCACTGTCAAAGGTTTATGCTACCTTTTTACTTATAAATTTTCAAGTAGGCTTTCATCTTCTTGGTTTCTTGGTCTTCTACATCCTATGGTCTTATCATGGGTTTGTACTAAAGTTTTATACAACACTGGTTATTAACATTTCTTTATATATATGTAATATTATATTTTGCATAGATACTTTGGGCTCTCAATGATAAGTAGAACCCAATTGGTTGTATCTAAAATTATAGATACCTAATTTCTAAATTTCATCATAGATGGAATTTGAACTTTAGACTTGCCACTTGGAGAATAACAACCCAACTATTACACTAAGATTGCCATTCTCTATATTGAACATTTTTTGTTTTTTATATTTTTTATCAAAGCTTAAAGAATGAACAACAATATCTTCATTGTCACTAAACATTTTTTACTATAAAAATATAAAAAATTAATTTTATATTCTTTGGCAATAATGTATCAATTCATATTATTTATATTTAAAATTTACTTTATTACAGACTTCAAACCTATTCTAATTTATTAAATAATTCAATGCTTTTGAGTATTATTTATATCAATATTACTGTATTAGCTTTTAATTAATAATGAATCTTGATTTGATTAAATTATTTAATCAATTTCTAAATTTAGATCTAATAGCAAAACCAAAACTATTAAACAATCAGATTTATCAAAGAGCTTAATCATATAATTCTTTTTAAATTATATAATTTATAAAAAAGTTCTTACAGATTTTAACTTGACAATGCTTTTATAGATTAGATGCAAATAGATTTATAATGTGATTAAATAGATTATGCCACATGTTTATTGAATTTAAAGCAATTGTTTTTTTTTGTTTTTTTTTGGAGTTAAGATGAGGTTTTGCTCATAACTTTATTAATTTGTTAAAGATGCCTCTAGGGGCTTCTCTAGATATAAATTACAAAATCTATTCCAATTACAAATTTGTTACAAGAGTAAAGCTCAGACTATAGAAAGAAACTAACTG